GAATGGGTGGGTGGTGGTTCGGGTGAGAAAGATGAGACGGACGAAATGAAGACAGAAGAGAATGAAAGATTATCTGTGGAATATTACTGCCTCAGCATTTGTCTAAGTGATCCAAGGAACCCACAGAAAAACTTGGACCAAGGCAGACGGACCCGGAATCGAACCGGCGTCCTCCTGATTGCTAAGCACTAGACCATTGCTTAGCATTCAGGAGGACCTCTAGACCATGCCGCTCGGTTCTTCTTGGTCATCATCGAGACAAGGCGTTAGGATCTGCTTCCCCTGCCTAGTCTTCGTCGAAACGGGACGGATTTGAGTGTTGTGACTGCATTCAGTTATCAGTAATAGATATCAATTTTTTCTGAACTGAGGTTTTAGAGATAACTTTTACTGAGTCGCCCCTTTCTTTTGTAATATAGTAATTTTGTCAATAAACACTCGATTGTTTATAGTTCATAAACATTTCGTTTTATTTACTGCTGACTTGATATCTCACACATATTGAGTGTTTGAATATTGAGTGTTTTACTGATGTCCGATTAAAGTCCTTGAGTAATCCTGATATTTTTCCATAAGTTTATTTCCTATTAGCTCTTTTTAGAATTTTAAGGTCTGATTAATTAATTGATGCTTTGTATTAATAAGCCCCTTAAGTGTTTTAGATTGGGGTGGTTTTTACCAGAGGATACTAGTTTCTAACGTTTATATGAGGTGAACAATTCTTTAGAAGTGTGAATATCTTTTGTAAGCATCCTGGGTCCAAAATAGTAGAAGAAAACTATAATAACTGGTGATTATTTGAAGCTTTTGGAAATCCTATTGAGAATTTTGGCTGTTGGCCTTGGTTACTTTTACTGTTTTCCTGTACTCGTCCAGGTCTTGTATATTTCAAGATCGCAGTTATTTGAATCCCTTTTTAAGAAGATACCAACTTTAGGTAGGTGCTATTTTACGTTCACGCGCTATTCTTCAATTTTGTTGAGTAAATTTCTTTCAATTTTTGTATGAGAACTTGGAGCTCTCATCTTAAATCAGGTCAGCACGTTGAGTTTTCCCGGAGAAATTCTTTTGGTTTTTTGCTTGGGCAAAATAGCGTCCGAGTTTCATTTGTATGTTTGAGGTAATTTTTTATACATAACGAATGAACGAAAAGGATTGTATTTCGATAAAATTTATAGATAGATAGATACAAAAGTTACTTTGGATCACACGGCACATAAGTACCTAGAGTAATTTATGAGCGAACGTATCCGTTTTAAAATTCCATAAGAAATAAAAACGCTTGCACATGTATTAGGGGTTTCTTAATGAAAACGGCATTAGATTTATAGCAAAGTACATTAGTGTGGAGTCGTTTACTTATTAATTAAGCGGTTTATTTTCGTTGTGGCTAGTTTTAAAGGAGAATAATTTAACTGTTTGATTATTGGGATGCCTAGGAATTTCAATACGAGTGCTTCTGTGAGTTGTGGCAATATCTATAGAACAGGGAAACTAATCAACGACCAGGATAATTGCTTAAGTGATGGATTAAACCTAATTAACATTGTGCAGGAAGTGTAATAGTTAGACGAGAAGTAAATTGGATATATTCAAACGGCGAACCCTTCCCTTACCGATATTTCCAAACGTTTCTGGACAATAAATATTTTAATGATATCAATTGATGTGTAAACTCTTTATAACGAAATTATTTATGACGAAATGCTCCCTACTAGAGGACCTCTGCTTTCGCTTCCGCAATTACGGAAGTCCCGCATACATTTTCACATTCGCTTCTGCTCTGGTTCCGCATTCTTATAAAGGAAGCTTATCGTAACTTAACAAAATCTTATTTCTCATTTTTTTGAAAATCAATATATCGGAACAATAAAACAAGTCGTAAAAATTTNGCGCTATTCTTCAATTTTGTTGAGTAAATTTCTTTCAATTTTTGTATGAGAACTTGGAGCTCTCATCTTAAATCAGGTCAGCACGTTGAGTTTTCCCGGAGAAATTCTTTTGGTTTTTTGCTTGGGCAAAGTAGCGTCCGAGTTTCATTTGTATGTTTGAGGTAATTTCTTATACACAACGAATGAACGAAAAGGATTGTATTTCGATAAAATTTATAGATAGATAGATACAAAAATTACTTTGGATCACACGGCACATAAGTACCTAGAGTAATTTATGAGCGAACGTATCCGTTTTAAAATTCCATAAGAAATAAAAACGCACATGTATTAGGGGTTTCTTAATGAAAACGGCATTAGATTTATAGCAAAGTACATTAGTGTGGAGTCGTTTACTTATTAATTAAGCGGTTTATTTTCGTTGTGGCTAGTTTTAAAGGAGAATAATTTAACTGTTTGATTATTGGGATGCCCAGGAATTTCAATACGAGTGCTTCTGTGAGTTGTGAGAATATCTATAGAACAGGGAAACTAATCAACGACCAGGATAATTGCTTAAGTGATGGATTAAACCTAATTAACATTGTGCAGGAAGTGTAATAGTTAGACGAGAAGTAAATTGGATATATTCAAATGGCGAACCGTTCCCTTACCGGCATTTCCAAATTTTTCTGGACAATAAACATTTTAATGATATCAAATTGATATAACAAAATTATTTATGACGAAATGCTCCCTACTAGAGTTGCAACAGACCTCTGCTTCCGCTTCCGCTTCTGGTTCCGCATTCTTATAAAGGAAGCTTATCTAACTTAACAAAATCTTATTTCTCATCTTTTTGAAAATCAATATATCGGAACAATAAAACAAGTCGTAAAAATTTATTGCTTTTATCTGTTGGCTGAACTTGACCGTTTTCAAAACACAATTTAAATGGAATTGCTTGTTGCAAAGCTGCATGTGCAGGTTCTTGTGACAGCTTTCAAAGGCCCCTTTGCAACATTGTGAACGTATTATTATCAATCGTTTATGTTTATGAAGTATTAGCGCCAATGCAGCGTTATAGCAGACAAAAATTTTGTTAATAATAGTAGTGTCCTTTTATTATAGTTTAGAGCCTAAAACTATTCCCTAGTATGTATTTCGTACGTTCATATTTTCCAAAATTTATTCTCTTATTAGTTTCCTACTTTAATCTAGGAACGTCCAAGACTTTCAGCTCCCCCTTAGCCAGTTCTCCTAATAATTTCATTTCGAAAATACTGATACAATTATAGCATTTATTTATTTTGTATAGTGTTTGCTCAGTGGTGTAAATTTCAAATTAGAAGTGTAATTTTGAAGTCAAAAAGAAGTTCCATTTGGGATTATTTTGTTGATATTAACGATGCAAGTGTTAAATGCAAATTTTATAACAAACTATTCGCGAAAAGGGCGCACGACCACTATATTAAAGAATCACTTAAAATCATTACACTTCCGCACGCGCTTCCGCAAAAATTTACTATTTACTTCTGTTTCTGCTTCTACTTCCGTTATGACACTTCCGTTGCATTTATTGGTTTACCTAATAATAATACAAACACCAACTAATCATCTCCAACAAAACAGATAATTTCTGCATCAAAACGGTCGGGGGTCGATTAATACGACTGCCGTAGTTGGTAGTACCCCTTAGCAATAACATCGCCTCACTAGCGACTTGGTAATGTTTTGAGTTATTCCCACATTTTGCCTTACCTGTATATTATACGTATATTGTAACACAGGCAGCAAAGCTTTTTAGCTTCAACTTGAGAAGTAAACAACAAAGTTGTAAATACATGAGATGTATCCATATATCTGGTTGTAGAGAATGGCATCACTTAGACAACCCTTAAAAGCTTTATTTTGAGCGGAGGTGTAAGTAGATACTGGAATTGAACTTTAGTGGAACCCATCGAAAAAGTAGAACCTACGTCTCCACCTGCGTATTGTGTATTATCTAATTTATCGCTACGGTAAACATTTGCGCTCGTGTATGAATAATAATATTTATAAATGCTAACAAAACATTTTTAAAGTACTTTCACTTAGCAAGAAAAGGTAAAAAAGGAAAAAATTCTACCTGTGTTTGCGTGGTACGATTTATAAAGCTTTTCATTTCTTTTTAGACTTTTTATTTTTCTTTTTTTGTCTCAAATAACACTGGCTAATTAGATGAAACAATCGTTGATTTTTTGAAGTGAAACTTCTTTACGCACGGTAGGGTAAGTTCGTTTCATGTGAGTTGCTATTAACGAAATCCTGCAACGGATGCTCCCCTTCTACTCGGCCACGTAGTCGAGTTCGTAGTGGGGATCACTTGAGCCGTGAGCGCGCTTCAATGCAACGTTCGTTACAAGCAACTCCGGCATGTATAGTGTAGCCCTAACAAAATGTATGAATGTATTTGTATGTGTTTTTGTATGTATGCCTACACTCTACAGTCGAAACGACGCCACTGACTAAACTAGACGCATAGTGTACAAATAATATCATTAAACCAATTCCTTATAACCCGTATCCCAGTATGTTTGTGTATTTGAAGAAGTTTCACTTCGGTAGCGTGTAGTATAATTACACGTTGCATTTTTTGAAGTGAAACTTTTTTACGCACGGTAGGGTAAATTCGTTTCATGTGAGTTGCTATGTAACAAAATCATGCAACGCATTTCCCCTGCTGTCTGTCCCTATGTATGCTTCGATCTTCAAAACTACGCAACGGATTTTAATGCGTTTTTTTTTTTAATAGATATAGTAATTCAAGAGGAAGATTTATATGTATGATATATGCATAATTTAGTAGAGAAACACTGATAATTTTAGAGGTTTGTAATGTGATGTAAATAAATACATTTTAAATACAAAAAAGTCCGCGATGGTATATGTCTATCTCTTAGGGATAATCCACAATAACAATTTTTCATCCTTTACTTTTGGCTTATTTACGAAGCGATTTTAAGCAATACAGCATTAATCCTTATTCAGTTAAATACTTTTAAATACATTGTGCATTTAATATAGATCAATATGGCCCCCACAGCATGTAATTCAAATCAATATTTTGGAAGATATTACAGACTTAAAATGCAGGGACATGGCGGTTGCGGCGGTACCGGCCGGTTTGTATTGTCTAATGACAAAAAAGCTGTGATTGTTGTATATAAAGACATTCTATAGTATATTTACTATCAGCANTGAGAAAATTGTATGACTGAACAAATTGAAAAGTAGTGTACAAATAATACCATTAAACCAATTCCTTAACCCCTATCCCGGTATGTTTGAGTGTTTGAAGAAGTTTCACTTCAGTAGCGTGTTGTATAATTACACGTTGGAAGTATTTTTTTTTAAATATATTTCTTGCGTTTGTGCTTTTGAGTTCTTTATTTATTAAAATATAAGCATGGATCGCAATCTTCTGGGTGTTGGATGTGTTACTAAACATTTATTTAATTAAATTTTATTACTTATAGTTTTTTTGAATACCCGGACACCCCCAGTTTTTAAATATTGTTTCGTCCCTGCTTTTAACTATATAGTTTTGAGTTGTGAATTATTTATAAAATTCATCGATCTATATACACAATTGTGCTGTACGAGTACGAATTAAATTTTTACTTCGACGCCATCTGTAGAAAAAGGATTCAATAACTACTTTTTGAGCCTATCATGTTTTTCGTTTCGTAATTTTATCTGATATAGAGCAACAATAAAAAATGTTTAATAAAGAAAAATATGTTTATGATATTATTCAAAATTAGCACGTGAACAAATGTCTAATCTTATCAGCCGGGAAGGAGTATGAAGGTGTAACAAAATTTTCTATGACAGTTGGAAAGATATGTGCACAGACCGGAAGGCTGAAATGGTTTTAAAAGGTTGTGTGTCATTTGAAAGTCTACTTATTCTAAATTTATTTGCAAACTGTAAGTTATCTTAGAAACATTTAGCTTTAGTGCAATATATTTACTGAAACTTCATATTTCATTCATAACTTTTCATTTTTTCTAATTTTGTGCTTCTTTTGTGGTTCATTCACCAATGCCATTTATGAGTCAGTAGATATTCGTGCATTAGAAAAGAAGGACACTTTTAAGTCCATTATTTGTTGATTTGATGATAAGATTTTGTTATAAAAAGAAAGTGTCTGGATATTCTTGTTTCTATTTTCTCTGCGCTTAGTTATTATCATGTTCAACAAAATAATGATAAATGCTTTGACGTCAAATTCCCAGATAATAAAGCCTTCCCAATGTCAGTGATAATAAAAAATAGTTAAATATTGAACCGAAGGCAGTACTATTAAGATAAATGAAAGTATGTAAATGTATAGTTTCATGTATCTGTCTACAATGTCATGTACATATAATTCAGTCGTAGTGTGGTACAACCACAATAAATTACTGGCATAAACTAGATAAGCTTGGTTAACATCACTGCGATATAGATTCATTTGAGTCATTCAATTATTGAAAACATATAATAACAGGTTAAGTTGTCCTATTCTAATCTATAAAGTCGATTGTTTGTTTCATTTTAGATGGATGTGTTTTTTTAAAAGATGCAAACTCAACTTTTTCTGAAAACAGTAAGTATTTATCTTGATTATACTATTTACCAACTCTTGATCCTTTATTATATTTCAGGTTCATGTAATTCAACACAAAATGGTAATAATAAGGAAAATTCAAGTATTTACTTAAATTATAATGAAAGTTATTCAAAAATTTGACAGGGAATTTAAGATAAGAAATCTAACTGAACCTAGTGTGCGTTTTTTGCATGAAAACAAAAAAGGCAATCATTTCCTGGTAATTCCATGTTTTAAGTAGAAATACACCGGTTACAAATAGCAAAACCACTACAGTTAATGGTTCATGTCTTTGTTCGGGGGAATTTTCCATTAAATAACACTCTCACCAACGTTCCAAATGTCCCGTTAAAAAAGTCGTTTAAACACTAAACCAAATTTTATTCTTCGTTTGGGAATTTTCAACAAGAAAGTTGAGTTGAAACTTTTAAAACGAGCTTGTATAATGTTTAAATACCAGAAATCTGGAAGGTTACAAAATCAAACTAATAAGTTAACGTTAATCAAAAACTGATACACCAACAAGCGACAGTTCGACCATATAAATGTATTCATGTTCACAACAATAAAAAAGAAGTCACTTCTATGCTCGCGAACGGTTAATTTAGAAATTCGAAAAAGGTTGTTAAAGGTGTATGTTTCGATCCTGGCGCTGTACGGGTGCGAAACATGGACAGTGGGCGCGGCGGAAAAGAAAAGGTTGGGAGCGTTCGAAATGTGGTGTTACAGGGTAATGATAAGGATACCGTGGATAGAGAAGGTTAGAAATGAACAGGTATTAGAAAGAATAGGAGAAAAGAGGACTCTGTGGAAGTCAATAAGAAAGGCGAAGGGCTAGTCAGAGAGGATTATGTATGATCCAACAAGGTCCACTTGTTAGTAGTTGGTCTGTGTTCTGTCGGAGCTGCCTGCGACGCGCTGATGAGATCCAAAAAGATCGAAATCGCGATCCGCGTCTGGCAGTTTCGACAGAATACAGACCACTNAAGATAACTTGCAACAATTGTGTTTCGCTCATAATAAACAATAAAGGCTCTTGCGTTGGAGATATTTATTTTGATTATTTACAAAGGGGAGGACTTTCTGTTCCTACTGATAATATTAGTATAGTTTTTTTTCACATTTATGCCATTCTTGAAGAAATAAGTAATAACGAAAATCTGCAGACACAATGTTTACGGGCTGAACACCAAAAACCAATTTTAGGAAAATTAACTATTTTCAAAAATATTTAGTTTTGGAAAACATTATAAAGATATATATTCTTCCAAATTTTATCTTTAACGTAACAATGCTCTGACCACGAAGCTATGAGTGGTGGCAACAGTAAGAACGACAAACCGTCGTTATACGATATATATCAAATATTTTATGAAACACATTGAAATTCCTAGTGGTTAATACTAAATATTAATTTGAAAATTAATTCTCAATTTTTTTCTCTTCAAGTTGTGGTGTATTTCAATCACTTCTTGAATTCGTCAGGCACCTCAGAAACTTTGACAAAAGGATTGCCGATCAGTTTCTGAATTCCCTTGTCCTCGCAGTCAGGAAAATATCGATTGAATTCACTTTTTAAGTTTTTCAAATGGAGTGTAATGTTCTTTTGTATTTCTACTTTAATCTTAGTTTAATATTTTCCGGGTGGCTTCGCGGACCATTTCGGGTGGTTCCAGGGACTACCAGTGGTTAAGAACCACTGATTGTAAATAATATGATATCTGTACTTCGTACACTGTCAAGATATTCTGATGGAGGCGCTAGGTACATAGTTATATAAACGTGAACTATTGTTACGAACGAAGGCCGCAGGTGAGGACTATAGACTCAGGATATTGTAAATTATTAAAGTATCTACTATTTGTACAAGAGAAGAAAACTGGAATGATTTAAAATTATAGACTAATAATTTCGTTAAAATTTTCCGAAGAAGCCGCAGTGCGTGTGGAATCAAATACATCGAATCGTACCAAGTAGGTATTTTATTAGTATTGAGTTTTCATTAACTAGATGTAGACTCAATTGTCAACTTTAAGACATTTTTAACCGAAGTTAGTGGTAACATACTATACTTCATTTACTTTCTCTAGCGACTTGGCCCTTCCAATGTCTTGGATGCGCGCCTGCAAAATCGTAGGTAGGGAGAAAAAAGCTCATTATACTCTCGACTCTTGTTCATTAAAGATACTTTTTCATACAGTACCTGCCAAAAGTTTTGTTCAATCATGAATAGTAGTGCGAGTCAAAAACAAGCGTTAAAGCCTTTAATATGTCTTCAAATATAAATAAACATCTNGTATAAATCGTTTTCTTTAGGTTCTGATGACGGCTTTAACGCAGCAGACAGAATAGGATTTTTCTTAGCTGGCTTGGGTTGTTTTATGTTTCTTTACATCATGGTTTTGTGCTGTACACGTCGGGAGAGTGAAATTAACTTTTTGACCAGCCCCTCGGTTTCGAGAAGCGAAAGGAACAGCGTAGTAACTTTACCGCCATCCTACGATCAATTTGCGCCACCGTCTTACGACGTTGTGGTTGACTGGAAGCGTCTCGATCAGAACGAAATGCCTGGAATTCAGGAGCAGAAACGACTGGAGAGATATTAAATTAAATTCGTAACAGAAAGATTGAGAACGAAAAGATGTTCAACTATCAGAGAGTACAATAGGATTGCACAAGTGGAGAAATTTTGTCAGATGGTGCAGCTAATATCTATTTGTAAAATGATATGTGACGAAGGGTCAATATTATTATTCTGTAATTTTGAATGGGGCAGTACATTGTAAGAGTGAATTTTTTGAATCAATTTTATCCAATATAGATAATTGCAAATTAATGAGAAAAAATTGTTACTGTAACTATATAGTTTTGAGTTGTGAATTATTTATAAAATTCATCGATCTATATACACAATTGTGCTGTACGAGTACGAATTAAATTTTTACTTCGACGCCATCTGTAGAAAAAGGATTCAATAACTACTTTTTGAGCCTATCATGTTTTTCGTTTCGTAATTTTATCTGATATAGAGCAACAATAAAAAATGTTTAATAAAGAAAAATATGTTTATGATATTATTCAAAATTAGCACGTGAACAAATGTCTAATCTTATCAGCCGGGAAGGAGTATGAAGGTGTAACAAAATTTTCTATGACAGTTGGAAAGATATGTGCACAGACCGGAAGGCTGAAATGGTTTTAAAAGGTTGTGTGTCATTTGAAAGTCTACTTATTCTAAATTTATTTGCAAACTGTAAGTTATCTTAGAAACATTTAGCTTTAGTGCAATATATTTACTGAAACTTCATATTTCATTCATAACTTTTCATTTTTTCTAATTTTGTGCTTCTTTTGTGGTTCATTCACCAATGCCATTTATGAGTCAGTAGATATTCGTGCATTAGAAAAGAAGGACACTTTTAAGTCCATTATTTGTTGATTTGATGATAAGATTTTGTTATAAAAAGAAAGTGTCTGGATATTCTTGTTTCTATTTTCTCTGCGCTTAGTTATTATCATGTTCAACAAAATAATGATAAATGCTTTGACGTCAAATTCCCAGATAATAAAGCCTTCCCAATGTCAGTGATAATAAAAAATAGTTAAATATTGAACCGAAGGCAGTACTATTAAGATAAATGAAAGTATGTAAATGTATAGTTTCATGTATCTGTCTACAATGTCATGTACATATAATTCAGTCGTAGTGTGGTACAACCACAATAAATTACTGGCATAAACTAGATAAGCTTGGTTAACATCACTGCGATATAGATTCATTTGAGTCATTCAATTATTGAAAACATATAATAACAGGTTAAGTTGTCCTATTCTAATCTATAAAGTCGATTGTTTGTTTCATTTTAGATGGATGTGTTTTTTTAAAAGATGCAAACTCAACTTTTTCTGAAAACAGTAAGTATTTATCTTGATTATACTATTTACCAACTCTTGATCCTTTATTATATTTCAGGTTCATGTAATTCAACACAAAATGGTAATAATAAGGAAAATTCAAGTATTTACTTAAATTATAATGAAAGTTATTCAAAAATTTGACAGGGAATTTAAGATAAGAAATCTAACTGAACCTAGTGTGCGTTTTTTGCATGAAAACAAAAAAGGCAATCATTTCCTGGTAANATATTCATTATTTTTTATTATATCCGCTTTATAAATCATTTTAAGCTAATTTAAATAAATTGATGACTTCCCTATAAACTCTCCGCAAAATCGATTTTGTAAATTTCAATGAAATCCCAACGACGGCCTTTGAAAATAATAGCCGCAATTAATTTCAGTTTAACAAAAGTTCACGTTGGAAACTTTTCTCGAAAGGGATGTCTGCCACTGATTTATATCTACCTATTATAAATCTTGTAAGATATTGTTGAAATGTTTAAGCCTTTGAGTTTGTTCCGTCAAGTATTCAAACGAACAAAATAATTTATGGGAACCGTTCCAAGTATAATACGTTTACAGTCACTGCCGTGAAATTAACACCGTTTAACCATTTATAAGCCCATAAGTTGATAGTAAGTGCAAACAAAAGCCCATGCGCCTGCTTGATAAAAACATATCAACATTCCCGTGATTTCAGTGATTCATCTCTGTAAATAAGTGGTTCTAATTTAGAAATTTATTCTCATTTTTTTCCTCAAATTAATGCGAAAAACTGTTACTGCTGTCGCGCCCTCGCCCAGAATTGAACCCACGACCGTTGGCTATACCACAGCCGTCTCTAATTACAAGCCATGCTGAAGGTTTACTTGGCAACACTGTGGGAGTCCCAAGATTTCCAAGTTAATGAGAGTTACAACTAATACATTAGTTGCTGTGTTTTTTCGTTGTTCTATAATATTTTTATTTTAGCGAAAATATCGTGCAGTAAATGTGCAATAAGGATGATTATAGTGTGTTATAGTGATTAATACCTTTCGATACAGTTTTTAATTGCAGAAGGCAATATTAACTGTTATCTGAAAGAAGTGAAAATGTTTTAGGTCAGATTGTTTTGGTTGTAAATTTTCTGGTTTATTTCTTAACAAAATGCCTCTCGTCGTTGTGTTCCTAGTTGCTATTCAAATTATAAATTATCTTTAAAATGTAAGTACAAGTATGTCTATATTTTTATTCCCAAAAAAATGATGAAATGCGAAAAAAATGCGTAAGTACTATACCTCGCAAAGATTGGACTCCACGAAAATATTCTGCAGTTTACATACATCACTTTAACGAAAGTGACATTATAAAAACAGTAAAAAAAAGTATCCACTGCCGGTAATGTTTTGAGTGTGCTTTTAACATATCCTAAATTACCAGAGAATAATGAAACAGGAATTTAAATTGTTGAAGAGTCTCCCTTAAACATAAGTCAGTTTATTGAAATTTTAAATTCCGATTTTTTAATGAATTGTGATTTAGATGACTCCTTAAAAATTTCCATTTCAGGATATGCAGTTCATTCTGCTCGTAAAAAGATAACTTGCAACAATTGTGTTTCGCTCATAATAAACAATAAAGGCTCTTGCGTTGGAGATATTTATTTTGATTATTTACAAAGGGGAGGACTTTCTGTTCCTACTGATAATATTAGTATAGTTTTTTTTCACATTTATGCCATTCTTGAAGAAATAAGTAATAACGAAAATCTGCAGACACAATGTTTACGGGCTGAACACCAAAAACCAATTTTAGGAAAATTAACTATTTTCAAAAATATTTAGTTTTGGAAAACATTATAAAGATATATATTCTTCCAAATTTTATCTTTAACGTAACAATGCTCTGACCACGAAGCTATGAGTGGTGGCAACAGTAAGAACGACAAACCGTCGTTATACGATATATATCAAATATTTTATGAAACACATTGAAATTCCTAGTGGTTAATACTAAATATTAATTTGAAAATTAATTCTCAATTTTTTTCTCTTCAAGTTGTGGTGTATTTCAATCACTTCTTGAATTCGTCAGGCACCTCAGAAACTTTGACAAAAGGATTGCCGATCAGTTTCTGAATTCCCTTGTCCTCGCAGTCAGGAAAATATCGATTGAATTCACTTTTTAAGTTTTTCAAATGGAGTGTAATGTTCTTTTGTATTTCTACTTTAATCTTAGTTTAATATTTTCCGGGTGGCTTCGCGGACCATTTCGGGTGGTTCCAGGGACTACCAGTGGTTAAGAACCACTGATTGTAAATAATATGATATCTGTACTTCGTACACTGTCAAGATATTCTGATGGAGGCGCTAGGTACATAGTTATATAAACGTGAACTATTGTTACGAACGAAGGCCGCAGGTGAGGACTATAGATTATGGCGAGGACCCGATCAATGAGACAACACCTATGGTCTATACATTCTGTAGCGTCCAAAAGCAAAAACACGGTCATAAATCATAAGTCGAACGGCACATGCATGCCCGCGTAACAAAATAGTTTCGAGAAAATTCGATGACAATAGCTTTGGTACACTATCTAATACAATCTTTTTATTTACTGTTCTACTTACAAATATATACGTTAAATGAAATCCTACAAATGGCGCGGTAAACGCCATCTGTTGTACAATGCTACATTTAGTGGAATTCAATAGGCTCAACAACGTCCATTTAAATAGATGGATATCTACTTGCTGAATTGAATCCACGGCGTAGCTCACCACTACGTGATAGGGACTTTACCAAAATAGAATAAAGAAATTCGAAGTGGTCAGTATTATGTCGAAACTGCCAGACGCGGATCGCGATTTCGATCTCGCTGGATCCCATCAGCGCATCACAGACAGTTTCGATAGGATGGGACACATTTCATAAAACCCGCTGTGTTAAGGTAGCGTGTAAAGTTAGTCTGTATCTCGTCGAAACTGTCTGCGATACGCTGATGAGATCCAAAAAGATCGAAATCGCGATCCGTGTCTGACAGTTTCGACAGAATACCGACCACTATGGTAACATGCCATTCACGTACTGGTGAGCTACGCCCGGATACATAGTGATCTCTTAAATGTAACATTGTACTACAGATGGCGTTTACCGTACCACTTGTAGGATTTTATAAAACGCGCTGTTAAGACAGCAGGTAATAATTGGTTTGTGTTCTGCCGAAACTGTCTGTGACGCGCTGATGAGATCCAACAAGATCGAAATCGCAATCCGTGTCTGGAAGTTACGACAGAATACTGACCACCTCGAATTTCTTTGTTCGGTTATGTGCGTTTAATATTTAAAGTCTAAAAGATGTGATTGATCATGTGCTTATAGATGATTGCAACGACTTTTCTGGTTAAATTGCAAATGTAAGTATTCACTTTGTGCCAAGTCTATTCCACATTATATCCGTAAAAGCCAAAAATCTTTGACGCGTGTATCTCGTCTGTTCAAACTTTTATACGAGGTTTATGCAAACGATGTGTGAAGTAGAAAATCCGGAACGATATGCAAAGTTGAAAACTTTATTAAAGTTTAATCCGCGAGATACATATTACGTTGATAAAAATGTCAAAGCCTTTCACTAGAACCTTTCATCCATTTATTGAGGGTTAAACCAGTCAAAATTTAACACACGTGCGCATTAAACTCAACTGATCATTATTCTGTACTCGGGTCAATTCACAAAGCCGAAATTTGCAGTACCTAGCTAAAATGTATTAGATACAAAAATTTTACTACCCCTTCTTTAGTTACTTATGAATTCGATGTCCTTTACACTTCCATTAGTGGTGCAAGTGACCTGGTCTATAATAATATGAATGGAGTTTTGAGTGAATGGAATAATATATGTTATGCTACTCTTTTATTAGTTATTTTATATTGATTTATCATCATCATCATAAGGTCGTCAGTCCTAAGACTGGGTCGACACGCACTTCCACTCTTTCCTATCATGAGCTAATCTTCGCATTTCCCTAAAACTAGAACATCCTATTAACTATTTGAGAACAGTAATGTAATCTGGGTCTACCTCTACCCCTCCTAACTCCTGTTTCTGCCTCTAATATGTCTCTGACAAGACCTTTATGCCTGAGAAGGTGTCCTACCAACCTATCTCGCCTATTTCTTATTGACTTCCACATTGATTTATACAAGCACTGAAAAAATACTTATACAAACCAAGTAGTAAAATAAGTTTCTTTGATTGAGTTGAGGAGGAGATAATTTCTTCTGTTTAATTGTGACGAAATCAAACACTCACAATTTTGATTAGTAGCAGATTTACATATTCCTTGTAGGTATCATTAAAAAAATATTTCAACGGAATTAAGTATTGAAAAGGAAAACAACAGTCGAGAAATAATTTACGACATAATTTTCTCCGCTAATTTCAAAACTTGCATCAGAATTGTTACAGCATGTAAATTTTTAGATTAAGAAAATGCAATTTGTAATCTCCATGAGATAAAACTAGAAGAAGAGACGATATTTCTAAGGTATGAATTAGAATTTGGCCTCAATGACAGATGGCCTTTCACTTCTATTCATATCTAGAATACGAAGATTTCGAAATATTTCAACCTCGAAATCCAAATATTTACAATTTGGCGGCTTTTGTTTGAATGTGAGATTAGGCATCTTAAAATTTCAATATTTAATTTAAGGAAATTCTGGAGTCATATTTGAATTCATATTTGAATAATAAATCGGAAATCTCTGTGTTTCGGTACCAAACAATCTAAATAAAGAATTATTCGAATTAATATACTCGAGATAAAAATTTTCAGTCTCTCAGAGTCTCTGAAAGCGAGACTCGAGTCTCCGTCTCTTATCGAGTCTCTCTGGTATCGCTGAGAGAGACTGCCAAGAGACTGTCAAAAAAAAATGTTTACCCTCTCTAAACGAGTGACTCGAGTCGCTCATAGAGATCCTCATTTCGTATCGAGTCTCTGAACGAAAGACTCGAGAGACTGGAATATCTCAATAAGTAGTGTCTCGATAGACATGGTTAAAATTTTCTAAGTTCAACATATTTCAGAGATCCCAGTCTTTCTACGAGAAACTCGAGTCTCTCAATTTTTCAGTTTTATTCATTCAGTCTCTCCGTGAGAGACTCGAATCTCTGAATTAACAATTTTATCGTTCGAGTCTCTCATACAGAGACTGTGAAAGATCCATAAAAAAAAACCTAGGCAATAACT